TTCCTCCTTACACGAGACGTAGCTTTAAGCGGCACGACTCATTTTTGGTGGCCTGGGTATTTGCATGCAATTGCAACCTGATTAGCATATCCCCCGAACACCCCTTAACTCGTATATACGTCCGCTTTTTATCCTATGTAGGTTACCGAGACCTTGGCGGGGTGCCTCAGGGTGAGATGACCCCGGACCGTGAGTTATTAGGGAAGGGGGGCAGGGGAAAAGAAAGGGGTGAGAGGGAGAAGGTAGGTAGGTAGGGGGGATCGAACAGGAATGGTCTGCGGGCGTAGGGAAAGGGATGGGAGGGATAGGGAAGGTAATGGATATGGAAGAGGAGAGGCAGCAGTGTAGAGAGTGTTAGAGGACATCTTAATCCGCTCGCTGGCTTGCCGCTGGTACAGCATCGTGACCTTGGCGACAGTGTAAACATCAGGGCAGGAGGTGCCGATCAGGTGCAGCAAGGGGAGGTGCCGATCAGGTGCAGCAAGGGGAGGTGCCGATCAGGTGCAGCAAGGGGAGGTGCCGATCAGGTGCAGCAAGGGGAGGTGCCGATCAGGTGCAGCAAGGGGAGGTGCCGATCAGGTGCAGCAAGGGGAGGTGCCGATCAGGTGCAGCAAGGGGAGGTGCCATCAGGTGCAGCAAGGGGAGGTGCCATCAGGTGCAGCAAGGGGAGGTGCCATCAGGTGCAGCAAGGGGAGGTGCCATCAGGTGCAGCAAGGGGAGGTGCCATCAGGTGCAGCAAGGGAAGGTGCCATCAGGTGCAGCAAGGGGAGGTGCCATCAGGTCACCGCCTCAAGGCACCATTCCCTATCAGGAGACAATGAGGACGCCGCTACCCGCATCACCACCAGGGGCGATGATGAGGAGATAAGAGGAGCCTGCACCTTCTGATAAGAGGGCAAACGAAACACAACAAGACAGTCGAGACGAGAGAGAGAGAGAGAGAGAGAGAGAGAGAGAGAGAGAGAGAGAGAGAGAGAGAGAGAGAGAGAGAGAGAGAGAGAGAGAGAGAGAGAGAGAGACAGACAGAGGGACAGACAGAGAGACAGAGAGCGAGAGAGAGAGAGAGAGAGAGAGAGAGAGAGAGAGAGAGAGAGAGAGAGAGAGAGAGAGAGAGAGAGAATAGCGAAATACGATAACGCGATTCCCTTAAGTAATCAAGACAAGCAATCAAGTATAGATACTACACAGTAACTGTGAATAGTAATTTCACGTTCGAATTCAGTAATTCACTAATTTACAATTCAAGAATTGTAAATTAGACATATTAGCCCCTGAGCGGCACTACTTACAATAGCCGACACATATTAGCCCCTGAGCGGCACTACTTACAATAGCCGACAACACCGCTGAGCGAAAGAAAAAATATATATAAATATTTTCATTCTAAGATTGTTAAAATTATCACAGGAAAAACATCGTAGGCGACATATTTTGGTGGTAATAGAGCTAGTTAGTCCCCTCCAGCCCGGCCGGCAAGAGGAACTTGATACAAAGACGAACAAATCCACAAGGGCCGTGACGAGGATTCGAACCTGCGTCCGGGAGCATCCCAGACGCTGCCTTAATCGACTGAACTACATGGTAAAAAGAGTTGAAACCGAAGTTCTACTGAACTTACTGGATCCTGCAGCCTCTCCGAGACACAAACCAGGGTTTTACACAACTCCCCCCTGCACTCCAGCTGTGTCAATAGGCCGTTCTACCTCTTCGCCCTTATATCATTTGATGCATCACGTTATTGTGATTTATGTGTGTATTGATACAAAGATATTATTACCTAATTATTTCAATGTCTCTTGATTGATTTTTTACCTTTTTTTTATTTTTTTGTCAGCTGTTTCATTCCCTCTGCTGTCACCTCTATATAAGTTAGTCTCTCATCTCAGTTCCTCTCTTCTGACAGTGGGAGCTGTTCAGGCTCGGTGGTGAACACTCCGTGAAAACTGGTGTTCAGTACCTCGCAGATTTCCTTTCTATCTTTCTGTACATGTGTGTCCCGTTCTCCGAGGTCTTGTCTCTCAGTCGTTCACTGTCATTTCCCTTCTTACAGGACTATTGTAGTAATATTGGTTCCTGTTTGGCTTCGATAGCAATTTCGTTCTCGTAATTTCTTTCCGATATTGTCTTTATTCGTTGCATATATTTATGTTTTCTGCCGTCCTTTATCTTCTGTGCTTCCTCGACTCCATCCTGATTCTCATTTCTGCTTCCTGACACTGTATATTAAACCATAAGGTTATTATATTTCTTCCTACTGTTTTACCTAACTGTTGGTGTGAAACTCCCTTCAGTCTCCTTGCATTCCCATATGACTCGATCCATCTTTTCCTGTACTGTTTGTCCTCTTAAGTTCTTCCTCCTAATGTACATCTTCTAGACATTCTGTTATCCGCTTGTGATCCAGTTTCCTATAGTCAACTCTCCTTTTCCCTGACCTCTTGTCGCGTGGTTACAATTTTAAGTTCAATCATATAGTCATAGACTAGGATACAGTGATCACTGGTTCTTAGTAGTATTAGTTCATGTTCCAAGTTCTCAATGTCTTCCTGAGTGAAGATTAGGTCTAATAGGCTCAATGTATCCCCCTGTGTGTGTGTGTGTGTGTGTGTGTGTGTGTGTGTGTGTGTGTGTGTGTGTGTGTGTGTGTGGTGTGTAAGTGTGTGTGTGTGTGTGTGTGTGTGTGTGTGTGTGTGTGTGTGTGTGTGTGTGTGTGTGTGTGTGTGTGTGTGTGTGTGTGGAATAAGAAGGTCAAGGGGCCCTGTTTGTTCACCTTCCTCTTGGCTCCTTGGAAGTGATCCAAACTTTTAGGCAGTTACTTTCATTAATAATAACAGGAATTCTCTTGATATGAGTATTTGCGACATGTTTTCGTAGCGGAGCGTCAAAGTCTTGCCAGTATGTTGTATATATATATATATATATATATATATATATATATATATATATATATATATATATACATATACATATACATATACATATACATATACATATATATATATATATATATATATATATATATTATATAGGAGCTAAAAAAAAAGATGAACAAACAGGGCCCCTCGACCTTCATATTTTACACACACACACACACACACACACACACCCACACACACACACACACACACACACACACACTGTTCCTGATATATGTAAACGATCCACCCAGGGAAGTGTACTCCTGCTAGCCAATGTTTGTAGTTGATGACAAATTGACGAGAAGAATACAGGCAAAATACAGCAGGAAAATGTTCCAGGACGTGAACAGGGATGCTGGAATTAAATCCTAATAAATGGAAAGCAATGAGTATGGAACCAACAGTAACGACGCTGGAAGTTCAATACATAGCTTAGAACTGGTCCTAGACTCGAATTCAGGGCTCCGGGAGTGGGAGGGAAAAAGAGGGGATACAGGGAAATCATCAGCTTGAAATTGGAGGACAGAGGCTTGGGGCTAGTCTCACAAAATATTTATAATCGTACTAAATATCAGCCTCTATCCACAATATAGATTCAATATGACAGGTCAGTGTTAAGCAGTTTATTTTTAAAGCCATTGTGTGCACTGAAGATGGTTACAGTGATGAAGGGAAAGTTGGAAGTTAGTGAAGAAGAGGGAGGGGGAGAGTGATAAAGAAGAGAAGGTAATGAAGACTGATAAAGAAGGATGGTGGGGGAAAAAAGAGAGAGAGCCAATGAAAGGTAAAAAAAAGTGGATAAAGCGTTAGTGAAGGTGGTGAAGGAGAGAGAAGGGGAAGGTTGTGATGATGAAGGGTGTATAGATGGTGATAGTCCGGATAGTGAAGATGGTTTATAATGATGCAGACCGTATACTGTCAATATGACTACAGTTATGTAGATAATGTGTAGTGTATATGTGCCCTCCGTCACCCGAGCAGCGCCGGGTACACCCCCGCCTCCCTCCCCCCTCTCTAATACACACACACACACACACACACACACACACACACACACACACACACCACACACACACAATATATAAACCCAAGGTATATCTTCACAATCAATTAAAATAGAGGCCCACAGAGCTTTGGGTGCTCTTGTAGAGACTCACAGAGCCTTGGGTGCTCTTGTAGAGACTCACGGAGCCTTGGGTGCTCTTGTAGAGACTCACAGAGCCTTGGGTGCTCTTGTAGAGACTCACAGAGCCTTGGGTGCTCTTGTAGAGACTCACGGAGCCTTGGGTGCTCTTGTAGAGACTCACAGAGCCTTGGGTGCTCTTGTAGAGGCACACAGAGCCTTGGGTGCTCTTGTAGAGACTCACGGAGCCTTGGGTGCTCTTGTAGAAGCACACAGAGCCTTGGGTGCTCTTGTAGAAGCACACAGAGCCTTGGGTGCTCTTGTAGAGACTCACGGAGCCTTGGGTGCTCTTGTAGAAGCACACAGAGCCTTGGGTGCTCTTGTAGAGACTCACAGAGCCTTGGGTGCTCTTGTAGAGGCACACAGAGCCTTGGGTGCTCTTGTAGAAACACACAGAGCCTTGGGTGCTCTTGTAGAGGCACACAGAGCCTTGGGTGCTCTTGTAGAGGTACACAGAGCCTTGGGTGCTCTTGTAGAGGTACACAGAGCCTTGGGTGCTCTTGTAGAGGCTCACAGAGCCTTGGGTGCTCTTGTAGAGACTCACAGAGTCTTGGGTGCTCTTGTAGAGGCTCACAGAGCCTTGGGTGCTCTCGTAGAGGCACACAGAGCCTTGGGTGCTCTTGTAGAAGCACACAGAGCCTTGGGTGCTCTTGTAGAGACTCACAGAGTCTTGGGTGCTCTTGTAGAAGCACACAGAGCCTTGGGTGCTCTTGTAGAAGCACACAGAGCCTTGGGTGCTCTTGTAGAGACCCACAGAGCCTGCAAATCCTTGTGGAGGATCAAATCCAAATATATGCACCAAGTATTAAAAAAATTATAAATTTCGCCTTAATATATTTGGCTTTTTATATATTCATTTATACGTTGCACGCGACGGGCGGAGAATGGTGGGTGGAGCATTATGGGCCAGTGAGCGGAGCGTGGGTTGCCAGTGGGCGGGGCGTGGGTTGCCAGTGGGCGGAGCGTGGATTGACAGTGGGCGGAGCGTAGGTTGCCAGTGGGCGGAGCGTGGGTTGACAGTGGGCGGAGCGTGGGTTGACAGTGGGCGGAGCGTGGGTTGACTGTGGGTGGAGCATTATGGGCCAGTGAGCGGAGCGTGGGTTGCCAGTGGGCGGGGCGTGGATTGACAGTGGGCGGAGCGTAGGTTGCCAGTGGGCGGAGCGTGGGTTGCCAGTGGGCGGAGCGTGGGTTGCCAGTGGGCGGAGCGTGGGTTGCCAGTGGGCGGAGCGTGGGTTGCCAGTGGGCGGGGCGTGGATTGACAGTGGGCGGAGCGTAGGTTGCCAGTGGGCGGAGCGTGGGTTGTCAGTGAGCGGAGCGTGGGTTGACTGTGGGTGGAGCATTATGGGCCAGTGAGCGGAGCGTGGGTTGCCAGTGGGCGGGGCGTGGGTTGCCAGTGGGCGGAGCGTGGGTTGCCAGTGAGCGGGGCGTGGATTGACAGTGGGCGGAGCGTAGGTTGCCAGTGGGCGGAGCGTGGGTTGACAGTGGGCGGAGCGTGGGTTGACAGTGGGCGGAGCGTTGGTTGACAGTGGGTGGAGCGTGGGTTGACAGTGGGCGGAGCGTGGGTTGACTGGGTCGAGCAT